AGAGAAAGAAACATACCTATTTCACAGATTAACATATCTGGCCCTGCATCAGAATAGGCATTTTGAAGCCATAGTTGATAGATATGTGGGCAGTTAGAGCTTAGTATTTCTTATAACTGAATGTTGGTACATTTACTGTTGGGCAGTACAAATACAGGTAAGAAATTTCCACTAATACTGATTTGGGTGGCCAGTAACTGCACTAAGATATTTCCAACAATATGTTGGCTAAGAAATTATATTTGCTGTTTGCACTGATTTGGGTTATTTCTATTTTCAGATAGTAAGTACTAAGTAATGGTAGGTAGCCACCACATTTCAAATGTTCACCTATTCATATACTTATAGTTAAAAGTGTGCCTCCCTTGTGACAAATCTTTAAAGAGTTCCATGCTTTTCGTTCTGAGTTTATTGGACTAATTATCAATTTTAATCTTTTGTTTATCAATTTCTCACTAGGACTTACATGATCTTAAACAATATGGCTCGTGACTTGAGAGGTCTGTTAATATTATTAAGACATGCTTATGTAACGTGTCCTTATTCAGAACTTACTTATTTACTATATTGTAAATATATATTAATAAAAAAAAACCCCAAATGGCTGCCAATCCAAAGTCATTGCCTGGCCCGGGTCTAAAAACAAGGAGCAAAACACAGGCAAAATGTTATTTAACAACAGTTACATAAGGTAAAGATTGTATTTCTACCTCGAAGCTTAGACAATATTTCACAAACTCGCTACCAACCATTCAACAGTATAGCGGAAACATCCCAAACCACAGAGCAAATTGTCCCAAGAAGTTTAAAACAGATATATTTACATATTTGCATCGTTGGAAGCAACCTCAGAATAGTAATAAATTGCCCAACTTGTCTTGCTTGCCGAAAAGCACAACCATAAAACATCAGAGCATTAAATTAAATGTTAATAAAACACGAAGCAGCTCCCGTGTGGGGTTGCCCGTCCACTCTAAGCAGCTTCGGCAAAACCGACCCTAAGTTTGCCATAATCAAACACGGTGTGGTACCGACCCATAAATATATCTCCCAAAATCCTGCAAGCATAAAAAACAATCACCAAGAGGAATAAAAATATAAATACAATTTAGAAAAAAAAAATCAGTAAAAAATAAATTAATTGTAAAGTCAGTCGAGCATTTACCAGAGGGGCCCACGCGGAGGAGGAATGTCGAGGCCCGTGAAGCCACTAATGCATTGTGCGGCAGCACCCTCCCCTACCTTAAGTATGTACTGTTGACAAGCACCAAAAAACAAAAGGGGAAAAAAAATCACCACCATCAATAATAAATATTAAATCACAGAAATTTCCGGAGTTATTGAAAAAAGCCAATATAATACCTCTTTTGGGGAGAGATCAAAAATCTTGCCACCAATCGTCAAGGAAACAGTTGGCATAGAGGAAATGCTTCCACAGTCGACACCCGATTCACCCATGGGGCTCGGGAGACGTTCACAGAGCTGCACAAGCAAAAGCCCAATTTTAGACGTGACACAAAGTATTTCATATCCGCACTTGTGAGTATATATAAAATGATCAGCATCCCGCTTATTAGCTAGCAACACAATAATAAACCCCAAGTACCCTTTACCTCGTTGACATAGTTCAAGATGCGATCTTGAGTCTGATTCTGCCTGAGCTGATTCTGCATCCACACAACGGCCATCTCACATGCCGAGCACATGCCATCACCCAATCCAGACGATTTACCCTCTTTCTCATCCACCACGCTCTGTATACCCACACTACATTAAAGCCCACATGTTATATGAAGCAAAATAAGAACCCAAGCATCTTAAATGAGGTTGGGAAAAAGATGTAACTAACCTGACACCATGAGCCCCATCGAACGTGCATAACCCAATTTGGGAGCAAATCTTCTTTGGCTGAGCCTGTAAAATCAAACTGTTGATTAGCATTTAAATAATAAATAAATTTAAAACACACACAAACACAAACACAATTTCACTTTTAAAATTGATGAACAAATGATCACACCTCAGCCAAGAGGAGATCCATGATAGTTTGCCCGTATTGTTGAACAACAGCCTTGCATTCTTGGCTCACAACTCCAGTGGCCCCAATAGCATGGTTAATCATAGCCACTACCGTCTATAAAAGTACAAAAAATTCAATTTGGAAGCATACCGAGAATGGGAGAATTGAAAATATGAGGAATATTTGCTTTGCCGGTGCATAGTTTTCAAACAGTTTCAACTCATATGATATTTTACATGCAATATCTGAGTAAGTCGGAAAAGTTTATTTCCAACTTCTGTAGAGATGTCTAAAAGCTCATGACACAGAGTAAAGGAAAACCATCTGGAGATGATTTCGAGAAGAGACAAAAACGTACCGTGGGCCCCGCTAACAGAGAAGTCCCAGAGTCGGCAATTGCGGAACATCCACCACTGCAGTACCCTAAGAACCAAAATAATGGAAATAGAATACATGACCATACAATATCATATGGCACGGGAAAATCAAATCACTTAAAATTCTATCTAGTATAGTAGATGTAGCAACTTTGAAGAATTGAAACATATACATACCACTTTCTCTACCATCGATAAGTACATCACCCATATCAAACTGTAAACAGAACCAAACAAAGTTCAAATGAGACAAATATTTGATATACTGTGTTTCATACGACATCTATATTGGATAACACTAACCTGCCAGTAGCCTTTCTGGGTCACGGGTACATAAGTATGGTTACCCTTGAAATGATTTGGATCAACTCCGCCGAAAACAATTTCGCCACCCTCTTCTTCATCCACATTTCGGTTTAGCCAAAATGAGAACACGGGCTCCTTGACAAGACCTTGTTTGACCATGTTGTACCTGAAAAAACAATGGGTTATTTTGCCCACAGCTCAAGTGAAAATGCAACTGACATCTTTCACCCTCACCACCAAAGATTTGAAAGAACCCAAAAGAAAAAAAAAAAAAGGAAAAAGAAAGGGAAAGAGAGAGATAAAGAGAATCAGATACAGTTCATACCATACTGGGGTTGCCTTTCCAACTGAGATCTCTTTAAACCCAAGACCCAGTATACCGTCGAACTTAGCCACCAAAAATGTAACACTTGGTTCTCTGGTTGCCTCGATGAATTCCTGGCCAAGTCAGCATTCTGTGTCAGATGCCAGACATTATTCATTGTGCAAAGCATAAAATTAAAGGGAATGCAAACAACCTGGCCCTCCACAACAAGGTCACCCACTTTCACATTATCCTCACTGAAGAATCCAGAGATTGCCCCAGTTCCATAATGAATTGCAGCAGTTTTTCCTTAAAAGTGAAATTGTTTCAGAAAGATACTTTCATCTATGAAACAGATTGCATTATTCTCAAAGCTTACACGAAGGAACATCAATATTTATATCAATATTTCAAATCCCATTGACAACATAGCTAATTCACATCAGTTGGGAAGCACACACAGTGCAGGGGGGATTACGCACAAGTGGAAATACCCAAATGCAATACTAATTTACAAGTAGCAAGAAACAATCAGTCCCAAAGTTACAAAAACCCACTCAGGCAGAAAGTTTTTGTACACATCTTAACTCCGAACCCTCATCTTTAATAACATATGAAATTCGCAACTAAAGAAATCAACGGAAAAAAGCACCAAGGGGTCTAATAAAGACTAGAACAAACCATTCTTCTTGTAAGTGCTCGAATGGCTGGACTTGTACTTGGAGTGAAAGTAACAAGGGACCTACACCGAAATTCACCAAGTCTATATCAATTCCATCCATCAAACAAGTACAAAAAAATGATCAAGTCAAGACTTACAGAAAACAAACACTTTGCGGATGGCACCCACAGATTGGAGCTGCCAGTATCAAAAATCACAGTGAATTTCTGAGGGGGAGTGCCAATGCCAATCTCTCCAAAGTACTGTGCATCCATGTAGTTCTTAAGTGCAACAATGTCAGTATCTGCATCATCTCCAAGTTTACCTCGGAAGTTATACTTCCTAAAGGAGGCTCTAAGCGTCTGTGCCTCCTTTGATTCAAGCTGAGAAGCAATCCGGTTGTTTTTGTCCATCTTCATCCTTTTCAAACCTATCCGCAACAACCCATCATTCGGTTCGGAAAAAGCAAGCGAAAAGGAGAGGCTTGTAAGGAAGAGGATTAGGGCAAGAGTTATGTATCCGTTTCCCATTTTTGTCCTGTATATGAGAAAGACATGTTAGTAACTAAAGGCTCACAACCATGACAAACAATGCCACTCAAAGTTTGAACTTCAAAACGGAAGAACAAGATTTCTCAATATGCCTGCACTGCATACATACTAACATATTCGAAAAAGAAGAAAAATGGGCAAAATTTTGTTATCCATCAATATAACAAGATAAATATAGCAAAACCAAGAGTTATGTTTTGCTTGCAGAGTTAGGAAAAGCCAAAAAATTGTGAAACTGAAGCCAAAGACTTCACTGGGACATTTCAGACTTTCAATATTTTCAAACTACACAGCTTTCTTTCCAAGCAAGCCAGATTAAGGAATGTTCTGTAAAATTGCCCAAGTATAATCAGCCATGAATTGCTAGACCAGCTAAAGTGGTAATCTTTATGGATTTGTCATCTAGAACAGCAAATAATTTTACCAAAACACGATACTTGCTCATCCTTTCCAAGCTAAATCTCCCATGATTAGTGACTCGAAAACCGGTTCTACTTCCCATTCCCATAACAAATTTGACCATACAACCAAAAAAAGAAGGGAACAAAAAAAGAAAAAGAAAAAAAAAATTCTCTCCTTTTTCCCCGTCCCCATAACATGCAGAAACATTTCTCATATGGGCGAAAAATACAATAAAAAAGGAACACAAAAATCCACGAAACATAAACCTAGGTGAACCACAAATTTTGACAATAAAATCCACAAAATCATACATGCATCTAGATCCCCTTCAACAAGATATTCATCAAATTTCATGACTAAATGTAAAATCTGAACCCAAAACCTCCGAAAATCTTTTCTTAATTTTGGGCAGTTAATTCCTATCAATAATTATCAACCACCAAAAGACAACCTCAAAATTGAAAAATAATAAATATTCTACCAAAACAATTGCAAAATTATGGCGATGATCAGAATATGAACTTACCGAATCGCTGAATCGAGAATTTGATCAGAAGATGTGCGAAAGCTGACAAACTCAACAAATTGACTCTGTGAATAAATAGAGGATCCGATCAGCTAGTCTTTCTAAAATCTCAGCCGTTGAGTAAATTAAAGATCCGCTTTTGAAACCTGGTGCATTCAACGAGATGCTCCAAATAGGAAAGAGTTGGGTGTTTCGCGGCGCAGGGGATCACAATATGCAACTAGATCTGGAGCGTAAAGTTATATGATCTGACGGTGGATACAGAGCAATCATGTTATATACGAATACGATGATAAAGGGGGTAGGTCGGTGATAAAGATGGGATAACGTATTCGAAAGTGAGAGGGCATATTTGCGAAAACTGTAATGAAAACAGTTTCGTGTCACC